TTTAAACTCACATCATCCCATTTTGATTTGATATGAGTGCCTGATTTAGCAAATTAGAGTGGAAACCAAAGCTATTAGTACTCACAGCGAATGTGTTCTAGTGCTGCATCTGTTCTCTGTCTTTCAGTCTGTTTGAGTTAGAACAAACATTAAGACAGCAAACAGCCAGCATGTTAAACAGCACATAGTTTCTGTCTCTCTCTCTCTCAGTCTGTATGTATGTCAGTATCTCTCCCCATTCTCTCTTTGTCTCTCTTTCTCTCTCTTACTCTCAGTCTCTCTCTATCTCTGTCACTCTCCTTCACTTTTTCTTTCTCTCATTCTTTCTCAGTCTCTCTTTCTTTTCCCATCTCTATCTCGCTCCTCGTTTTGTAGTCTGCCTTTTTTCTCTCTTTTTCACTCTATCGCTCTCTCACACTCTCTCTCTCACTTCTCTCTCAGTCTCACTCTCTTTTTCTCTCTCTGAGTCTGTTTTCTTCTCTCGCAGTCTTTTTTTATTTTACCATCTCTCTTTTATTCCTCTTCCTCTAGTCTGCCTTTCTCTCTCTCATGTGTTTCTGTCTTTCTCCTCCACTTCTGTGTTTCTCTCTCTCTCTCTCTCTCTCTGAGTCTGTCTCCCTTTTTCACTCTCTCTCTCTTACTCTCAGTTTATCTCTATCTCTTTGTCTCTCCTTAATTTTTTCTTTCTCTCTCTGAGTCTCTTTCTTTCACACACTCTCTCTTACTCTCAGTTCTCTCTCTCTCTCCCTCTCTCTCCCTCTCTCTCTCTCTCTCTCTCTCTTTCTCCTTGTTTTTTGTATCTTTCTGCCTCTCATTCTTTCTCAGTCTCTCTCGGTCGCCTACTCTCCCTCTCTTCTTTTCGTTCTCTCTGAGTCTGTCTCTCTCTCTTACTTCCTCTGAGTTTCTCGCTTTTTATCTCTCTGTCTCTCTTTTTCTTTATATCTCTCTGAGTGTCTCACTTTCTTACTCTTTCTCTCTCACGTCTCTCTCATTCTCACCCCTTTTCTCTCTCTGAGTCTGACTCTGTTTTCCTCTCTCTTTTCCACTCTCTCAGTCCCTCTTCTCTCAATTTGTCCTTTTTCTTTTTCCATCTCTCACTCCTCCTTCTCTCTCTTTTTCACTCTATTTTTTCTTTTTCTCTTCTCTCTCAGTCTGCCTCGTTCTCTCTAGCTTTCTGAGTATTTCTCTTTTCTTTCTGTCTCTCTCTCTCTGTATCTATTTCACTCTCTCCCCTTTCTCTCTCTGTCTGTCTCTGTCTCTATCTCTCTGTCTCTGAGTCTCTCCCTCTCTCTCTTTCTCCCACACTTGTTTCTCTCTTATCTCTTTAACACTCTTTCTCTCTTACTCTCTGTCTATCTCTCTCTCCCTGTCTTTCTTTGTCTTTTCATTTTTCTGTTTCTCTCTGCCTCTTGTTCTTTCTCAGTCTCTATTTTCTTTATCCATTTCTCTCACACCCTCTCATTTTTTGCTCTCTCTTCCATTCTTTCTCTCCTTTTCTCTCTCTCTCTCTGAGTCTGTCACTCTCTCACACTCTTTCTCTTTCACTTCTCTCTCATTTTCACTCTTTTTTTCTCTCTGAGTCTCTTTTCCTCTTTCAGTCCCTCTTTTCTCTTTTCTTTTTTCTTTTTCTAATCTGCCGTTCTCCCTTTTTCACTCTCTCTTCTTCTCTTTCTCTTTTTCATTCTTTCTCTTCTTCTCTTTCTCTCTGAGTCTGTCTCTTTCTCCCTTGCTTTCTCTAAGTATTCCTCTCTTCTCTTTCAGACTCTCTCTCTCCCTCTCTGTCTCTCTCTCTCTCTCTCTCTCTCTCTCTCTCTCTCACCCATTCTCCACCCTATCAAGTCACTTAAACAGCATTTTACAATTAAGTTAATATATTAATTAACTTAAAATTCACAACACTTTCATATTTTAATGTCTCTAAAAAGAAAAGGGCATTAAACAGGACAGTTTATTTGCCGGAGCCAGAGCAGCTTTTACAGTCCTTCACTATGAACAGGCTGACTATTGTGTGACACACTGCTGAATGAGAAGAGAGTCGTGATTGATTCCACTGTGGAGTCACAGCTTTCACAGCTGAAACAATAGAGGAAATGCCGTGGGGGGATGGGGACGCAATTAATTAATGGAGAATTCGGCTTGTAAAATCCCTGTTGTTATGTGACAGAGGGGTCAGACTACATATACTAATGATACGTCCCCCTTCTTGGAGCCTTAGTCTGTATGTAGCGAGTCAGATGCATCTGCCATTCAACTACATTAAAAATGATGCCTCCATTTTGGCCTCTGATTTAATCACACCATAGTGCTCTCATACGGACACTTTGGGCTACTCCACTGGCAAAGATGTGCCAAGCGGTTAATGTCCATTTTGATAATGGGCTCATCTGTCAAGCAAGTAATTTCCAGAGAGATGCCCAAAAGGCGTGTTGAAAGGACCCATATCACAGAAAAGTGAATTTTTCTGACTTTTTTTGGAATACAAAATTTGTTAAAGTTTCAAAATGTCCTGTTCACTCCCCTGTCCAATGGTCCATCTGAAAAAACAGTCCGTTTTAGATATTGATATTCACTTATACAGAACAAAGGGCATTTACAACTATAAGTAAAAGCACAGTAATATGTGGTGTGTCCCAGTTCAGCAGCTCCATCCTTCGAAGGACGTGGTCTATGAACGTGTGTCCTTTGAAGGCTGCGTAGACCCGCAAAGGCTGAACTGAAATGAGATGGTCTGCTCTACGGTGGATTTACGCCGCTGTTCCCGCCCTTACCGTTGCATGACGAAATGCTGCTCCTGTCAAGTTCTTTAAAAGTTCTTTAAAAATGGAGCCAGAAACTTTGATATCAGTTTTTATATGTTTTCATTCACTAGAGCGGGAGATGCTACGCCACTGTGCCTGCACCGGTGTATGCTGTATCTTAGACTGATGAGAGAGGTTCATCAAGATTAAAAAAATCTCCCTAAAACAAAACAATATGTTATTGTTTTGCTTCAGACCACATTGGCTTTTGACATTTGTATCGTTAACAGAGGAGTCCACTTTTAGCTATTTAATCGACCTTCAAATGCAGGATGCAGCCCCTGAATTGGGACACAGCTAAAAACAGCCATTTCATTCTAAGGGATAAAAAGAGTTTGGAAAATGGTCACGTAAAAATGTGAGTTATGACTGTTTCTGGTAAACACACACAAACAATATCTAAATAAGTGGGCCTCAGAGGAAAAACAAAATTTAAAAAAACATGTAGGATATGGCCCCTTTAAAGGGACGCTCTGCACAAGATAAAACATTAACCATGGCTACATTTGTTGTAAACGTGCCTACTTACCTCCTACAGCAGTGCTGCAATGGCCTCTAGAGTGAGATTTTCCAGTTTAAAGAGTAAACCCCCTTCTGATGATGTTTCTTGAAGGTGGGAGAAAAAATAACATACACTCTGGGGTGGTTTTTTTGGCAGCTGGCTAATGCGAAAGTAACAAGTGGATTCCCAATGATTGTATAACATATTCATATGAAGTAGTGAGAACACTGATGAACAAAAACATGAGAGGGATCTACAATAGTGAATGTCAAATGAGGGATGCAATGCTGTGCTATGGAATACTGCATAACCCAAAATGACCCTGTAAGAGTACTGTCTTCACACAGTGTCTGTCGTACTCTTTCAAATAAAGCAGAGTTACAGACATCTTGGTGTGTCATTGTGGATTTGGCCCAGTACAGTAAGCTCGTCCAGATCAGAGTCGGTGAGTTTCTCTTAAATGTGGAGTTGAAAGAGGGAAAGGGGGCAAAGGGTGGACGAGCTGCTGCGATGATAAGCTACAACCTGGGCAGATGTTTTCAGAGACTTCAAAGTGGCAGAGCTGCTCTGAAGTAAGCTGCTTGGGGATCCGGGTTTGAAACGGGGCCAGCGCACTCTCAGCGGCATCCAACTCTCAGAGAGTGACCATGTGTCAGGCTAAGAAGCCAAGACATACTAGATTTCTGGAAATTCAGACCTACTGAATCAGCTGAAAAAGAAATACATCAAAATGCATTTTGTATTTGACTGTTGGGATATGGTTGCTTATGGTTGAGTGGCAATGACAGGAGGAGTTGCATACAGTTTAAACCATATGTGTCAGGTTCCAGTCCTCACGGGCCAAAACACTGCAGACTTCAGCACCCTGCCTCATTAAACACACCTGATTCAGCTCACCAGCTAATTAGCAAGTCCTTCATGAACTGAATTCAGGCTGTTAGATGAGGATAAACGCTAAACTCCGCAGCACTTTGGCCTGAAGGGTCTCCAGTTTGACATGTCTGGTCTAAACTGTACCAAATTCTACAATAAACCAGTAAAGAGAGAAAAAATAAAATAAAAAACAAAACAAAGTGAAAAGCCCACGGTGGAGTGTACTACGTTAGCTAGCATGGACTACAGATATCAATTAGTAGTACAGAGATAACATTTTACAATTTGTTTTGACAAGTATCGTAAGAAATTCTAGACACTTACTTAACATAAACGGTAAAATTATAAAGTAGAAAAAACACATTTTATGTCAGAAAGTAGACTTTCTCATTCTTAAATACAGCAGGAGGCGGTAGCTCAATGCTAACTCTCCACTCCTGAGAGAAAGACATGCAGCTCGCTCATTGGTCGAACGTCACGTCAATCAACGAACGCCTGTGTTTACATTTTCCACCTATTTTCAGAAAAGTCCCGCCCCTCCTGCGCTACGATTGGCTAGCAATTCATACTCTCACGCCATCAGCGCAGCAGCCTGTACTGTCTTATCTCTCAGCGGCCTGCTTGTGTATGCTCACTGCTAGCCAATCATAGCGCAGGAGGGGCGGGACTTGACGGAATACGGGTGGAAAAAACGCCAATAAATAAAGAACGCCTGCTGTGCGGTTTTGCTCTCCAACGCCCCTGCAGGCGAAAGGAGGCAACAACAGCAGCACACGATGCTGTGAGCACTCCGAGGAAAGAGCGAGAGAGAGAGAGAGAGAGAGAGCGAGAGAGAGAGCGAGTTAGAGAGAGAGAGAGAGCCCCACCGACCCTCGAGCGACCGTGGTGAGGAGGCAGCGACTGGAGGAGCAAAAGCTGGGCGGGGGAGAGCAACTGCAGAAATAAGAGATCCCAAAAACATTGCTGAATTTCCAGCAATTCACCTTTAAAGAGAAGACAGAAGAAAGAGAAATAATACAATGTCCTCAACGGGTAAAGACAACAGCGCCCAGCACGCCAATTACGTGGGACCGTACCGCCTGGAAAAGACGCTTGGAAAGGGACAGACAGGTTTGTCCTTTATTTTGGATGTATGCATGTGTTTTCGGACCCTGAACACGCTGTCCAGGGGCTTACAGTGAGGCAGACTGATGCTTATCTCAGTTGTACACAGCATATGCCGGCTAGGCTGGCTTTGCATGCATTTGCAATTGTGTTGTGGACGGGCAGGACAATTGTGCAGCTGATGCAGATTAAGAGAAATGCCCCCCCACAGGTCCACTTTCTGGGGTTCCTGCCCCATCGTGCGTATTGCTGTATTGCTGTTTGAGAAGAGGTGGATATTTGTTGCCTTGTTCTTTGGAGAATGAAGTTGGGTCCCTGCGAACTGTCAGTGTGGTTCAGTCTAAGACAGCTAATCCTGATTTGCAGGACAGGCGCTGGGTGCGGGCGCAGCGTCCAGTACCGCGCTCGTTTAGGCGATGCAGAAGCCTAGGATGAGGAGCTGTGATAGAGCTGGAGGCTGAATTTTGGTGCTGTAGCGGCTCTGTGGCTGGACTGATGGTGCAGGCTGCACAGAAGGGACTCTCTTCAGCACACAGACCGCAAAACTGCGCCCCCTGCTGGCCGCTGATGTCAGAATGGTCCGAATTCAGTGCTGAACTTCTGAGATGTCTTTAGGATTTGGGCTGGTTTGAGTGGCTGTATGTACTTTGTGTTGTGCCTGTGATTTGCTTCACGTTGTCTGCGAGCTCCAGAAAATGAATTGGTAGTACTGTGCACATGCTAACACCAGCACATTCACTGGTTTGTGGTGATTGACCTGTTGACCCTGAGGTTTTTGGCCCACCTGAGATGGATTTGCAGTCATGGGGTCAGACATGTGTGCTATAATGAAGTGACAGTGGACATAGCAGTGGGAAAGCCTCTGGTTGTTGGTAGCAAAGGCAGCTCTACAGAGATGTGCGCTGCTGTAGACTAGAGAACTGGCGAGCATGAATCATGACTAAGGCTGAATCTCAAATGGCTCCCTATTCCCTGTGTAGTGCTCTATATAGGTTATGAAGTAATGGCTTCCATATCCAAATTGTGCCATTATGGAACCACATGGGATAGAGGGTAGGGCTGCTCGATTATGGGGAAAATCATAATCATGATTATTTTGGTCAATATTGAGATCATGATTAGGCCCATTCATTGACTTTGGAAACATCATGCATTTATTGAACTTGTCATTTTAGCAGTGGATTTCCTTAAACTTTTGATATAATTAAACTGAAAGACAACAAAAAAATGTACAAAATGATAAATACATAAAATAAATAATTAATATGTAATATATGAATATATGCATTTACATATACAATATGAAAAAGATAAATAAAAAATAAAAAAATACTACTGAAAATGACTAAACGTCTTTAAAAATAATAAATAAAGATAAATTACACTAAAATAAATGAGGTGAGTTTGGGCTTTTAGGGAGGGGTGAAAGTGCCCTGCTGTAAAGGAGAGGGGTCTGCTGGATTTATGAACACAAAACGAGAGCATCACTGCGAAAAGGAAAGCAGCACAATAATCATTTTATCGTGATCATCTTGTTTTCATAATTGTTGGAAGCCAAAATCATAATTGAAAATAGTATTTGATGAATCTCCCAGCCTTAATAGAGGCTAATGCTATTTTGGGGTTAACCTATATATACCCTACAGTAAAAGACTGTTTATCATCATATCTTATTATCACGAACTACTTAGACTTATATCCTCATAGTAATCTGTATGGCTGTTTTCACTGATTTCCTGTGTTTGTAGAATTCCTACTATGAGAAATGTATAGTCATTATTGATCCAGTTGTTACAATTCATTTGGTGCTCAGCGTGTTATGAAGCTTGGAATGGCCGGTGGCCTCTTCATGAGTGGTGTTGATTGAGTGCGGTCAAAGTTGAGTGGCCTGGCTTGGCCTGGGTAGCCCATTGTTGTATTCAGCACAGAATGAAGCTGCACACATGAAGGTTCAGACCAGTGTCCATGCATAATCCTCAAATCAGAGTCAAGTTGCTGCCATGAGGGCACCATAAACCTACAACACTAAGAGATGAACTGTTGGATTTTAGCTTTAATTGATGTGAACATGTTGTCATATACACAATAAAGAAAGTGATGCATGTAGCAATATATGAGACATGCTATTAAAGGGGAATTCCACCAATTGTTCAGAATTTCTACATAAATCGTTGAGATGTAAACAGAGTCATTCGGGGTGTTCTGATGTGAAATGGCTTGTTGTTGAGGAACTTCCTGATTCTGATTTCTTTGCAGTGGTGGTGATAGGAACCAGGGGTCACAATGTCTGCCATGTAAATATCGTCATTTTATTTACAATACAAAACAAACAGTCAACTTAACAGTCAACTTACATGTCTTTTTATATGTAATGTTGATGATGATACATATTGTTAAATAAAAAATATTTTGTCTTAGAACCTTTTCTACCTCTCTGCCACAAATGTATGTCAAAATTGTACATTTTAGGCCAAAACCTTATTTCCGAACTATTGTAAAACAAAGTCAGTAGCATATTCATAATCATTTCATGTAATACTTTCTGTGAGGGAGCTTTTAAAGGCACTTCAGACGTCTGGTTCCCGTCACCACCGCTGTGAACAGCTCTGACTTGGTAAGTTTTTCTCTATACAGGTTATGAATATCCAAATTGTGCTAATATGGAACCATATGAGATAGAGGCTAGGGCTGCTCAATTATGGCGAAAATCATTATCACAATTATTAATCATGATTAGGCCCACTCATTGAATTTGGAAACATCATGCATCATGCAATATGTACGTATAGTCCTTTACATAAACAACATAAAAATGCTACATAAAAATGAAAATTACTACTGAAAATGACTAAACATCTATAAAATGAAAAAAGAAAAAAAAATAGCCCAAAATAAATTAGATGAGTTTGGGCTTTTAGGGAGGGCTGAAAGTGCACCACTGTAAAGGACATATAAGGTGCATATTTATAATCATTTTATGTAATATCTGTCAGGGAGCTTTTAAAGACACTTCAAAAGTCTGGTTCTTATCACCACCACTGTGAACGGCTCTGACTCTGTAAGTTTCTCTATAGCGGAGCATTTCACATCAACCCACTCTGAATCACTTTGTTTACATCTCAACAATTTAGTGATGTAGAAAATTTGAAATATCAGTGGAATTCCCCTTTAAACTGGGAGCATGCTAACTGCTCAACAGAAGACAGACCTCATGTGGATGTGCTAGATTGGCGCTTATTGAAACTCTGTCTCCTCCTCTTTAAATGAATCGTGCAGGAATGCTTTACGTTTTCAGTGCATATGGATCATATTCATTTAAAACATTGGATCTTTTGTTGGTGCTGCTTGTTGTTTCTAAGCTATTAGTGCAAACCTGTGGCCTCAGAAGTGCAGGTGCAGATGGCCATCTTAAAGATCAACACTGAGATTTTTTACCCTAAAAACTTAAACAATGCTTCCCACTGGTATCAGTGCACTCCATGTTGTATGTAATGGTGAATGAGACATGCTATTAAACCGTATGAATGCTAACTGCTCAACAAAAGACAGACCCCATGTGGATTCAGTAGTTTGGCGCTGATTGAAACTCCGTCCCCTCGTCTCTAAATGAATCTTACTGTAGCTCATAGCTGGAGGCCAGGCCTGCTTCTGACTGGTTAGTAGCAGGGATTTTAGTGCTTTCTGCTGCCGTTGGCATAGCTGCTGAGAGAATGCTGCACAATAAATGGAGCTCGTCTCAGCCGCCGCCGCAGAGGATTGCCCATATGTCAAGAGAGAGGCTCGTACAGAGAAAGCAGGCGATGGGGGAGGGGAGGAGATGGATGAGGGGGGCAAGCGGAGGGGGGGGGGTGGAGTTTGAGGGAGAGTTCTCCGTGCTAAAGCGGGACCCCCGTGGGAAGCCTAAAAAGGGACGCTCCTGTTTAATTTACCCCCCTCCCCCCGAATCAAATCGAATGTGCTAGCCTGTGTTTTCTCCTCTTTATTTCATTGTGCTGCACACTGTATTTTACCACCACATGCGCTGGATTCGCCACCACAAGCCTCAGAAGGAACACAGAGGTGAAGATTAGCAGAGCTCACGCAGAGAGACAGATTGGGCCCATCTACATGGCCTGTTCAAACAGGGGCTATGATAAAGCAGTGATTCGGGCATCAAATGTGCACAATTTTCAAATGTAGTTGATCGTCCAGAACCTTTTTTTTGATGTCTGAAGTTTGCACTGGAGCTGCGAGGCTAATTGAGTTCTTAGTAATGTGAAATAGACAAGCTTGAATATTGCATATTGCTACCTAAAAATAGACAAACGTACGGAAAAAATTTAGGCTTTAAAAAGGAATTTCACCAATATTTCAACGTCTCTGCTTAAATCAACCGTTCAGATGTAAACAAAGTCATTCAGAGTGGTTTGAGGTGAAATGGAGCATTGTAGAGAAACTTACAGACTCTGAGACGCTGATTGATACAGACTCCCAGAGTTGCAGTGTCTACAGTGCAAAATATACCTGTTTTATTTATCATCCAAAATGACCAGTGGACATATACGTGTCTTCTGAGGTTCTATATCGGAACAAAACCTCTTATCTCCATTTTTGTCGTTTTCCAGTTTTTGACATAATCTGAAAATGCTTGTTGCCCTTTACATTGTATATAAATTTCATGATGAATGGACCAAAATAAACAGCCCAGAAAGACTTTGAAAAATGTCTGGTTTCATTGACTTACGTTAAAAGTAAAGTCACCATTATAGAGATTCGAGGTTTTGTTCCGACAACAGCGATATGTAAGCTGAGACTGGTAAGATAGTGGTGAGTCTGAAAAACATAAGTGTTCTTTGGAGAATATTTTGCTTCACAGTGGCCTGCATGTACCTCTCCACCATGAATCTATGTAAAAAAAAAGTTTTAGGGCAAAACTATGTCTGAGGCATCAGGCAGTGTATTCATAAACATTTCATGTAATAGCTTTCTGTGATGTAGCTTTAGAGGCATTAAACCCCTCAGAGTCT